ATGTGTGCGACATATCGATGTCTGCGTTCACTTCCGGTATAGATTCACCTTAATTTGAGCCTATATATACCTTGTAGTCCATTAAAATTGGGATTCCTCCTCCAGTCGGGCAACGGGAGGCCGTGCGCGGCTGGTCGAAGCCTCCGATAACTCGATTTGAAGGTAAAATCGGGGCCGGAGTCACAAGAAGTCGTAGTCTGTGAGCGCGTGTAATAATTGACTCTGGCGTGCGGCGCGGCGGCGCACGGTGGATCGAGTCAGTAGGAGAGGTCGGACAAAGTTTGGAAACTTTAAACGCGTATATCTCCGTTTTTACAAAACTTTGAGGTTCCAAAAGTGGTTCCATTGGTTTTCTCGTGAAATTTCTCTCTGGAGACACTCATTAATATTCATAATTGAATGAAATATACATCCAAATTTGCAGGTTTAGTCAAAAATTTCGTGTGCGACCTCTCCAATGGACCACTAGACAAGGTACGAATTTCAGCATTCTGATACATGTTTCTCAACCAAAATTTCACGTAGAACACGATACGCACAACGAAAATTACCAAAATCAACTCCTGACGAAGATATTTAATGATTCTTGATGCGTGAATTCAAACCACCCGCTCATGAAAACTCAATGCTCTACGTGATTCACATCGCGCGCTAAATGTTTATCATGACAGTCTCTGCGATATAAAAATCTGGCAACCTCAATCTTGACGCTTTGGCTCAGTTATAGCAAATTGCTAATAGTTTGAACAACACATGATGGGAAATGAACATTGCTCGATTGAGAAGCTCGCTGAAACCGTTGTAGTGCGCGATTTGACTCACGTAGAACTTTGAGTTTCTTGTGAGCGGGCAGTTCAAATTCCACGTAATCAGTGCGAAATAAAAACGTTAATATCTTCGTTAGAAGTTGATTTCGGTAATTTTCGTAGTTTGAATCGTGTTCTACGTGAAATTCTGGTTAAGAAACATGTAACAGATTGCTTAAATTCGTACCTTGTCTAGTGGTCCATTGACTGGATCCTCTGTGCGGCGTGCGGGTGGTGCACCCAGCTGGTGCGTTTAAAGGCGGGCGCGGGCGGTTAGCGCGGTGCCGATACCGGAAAGGAAGGAGCCCATCTATCACCGCTCACCGGTAATTCAGCCCCGACTCCGACCCCGAACTCACGCTTCTCGCGAGTCGCGACTCCCGCGAGGTGGCTTCGCGCTTTCAAGTGCTCCCGCGGATCCTCTCGCAACAGCCTTCATGCTCGCAGAAGAACCAAGGCAGGGTGTCTACAAGTCCGGAAGTACCGAAAAAGTGCGGAAATTCCACAAAAAGATCCGGAATTTTTTAAAGTTTTTTGTCATTTTTGTCGCACACGAAAAAAAAAAATTCTGATTCAACAATTCAATTGCTAAAAACAGTGAGTGCAATGTTTCAACGCAGATTTTACAACAAGAAATACTACTTTAACCACATTGTAAACTAATTTAACCACGGGGGTGGTTAAAGTAGAATTTTTAATGCTACTTTAACCACATTGTAAACTAATTTAACCACACGGGTGGTTAAAGTAACATTTTTTGTTGTACAATCTGCGTTGAAACATTGCACTCACTGTTTTTAGCAATTGAATTGTTGAATCAGCAATTTTTTTTCCGTGCAATTTCAAATTTTTGAAATTTTTTGTAATTTCATCAAATGGAGGTACTGAAAAAGTACGGAATTTTTCTGTCGGAGGACTAGGTACTGCATTTCTTGAGAATGTACTAAAAAAGTACTGTAAAAGTACTTATTTTTAACCAGCCTGTTTTAGTAGACACCTTGAAGAGGCAAGGATTTTGAGTCCTCTTTCTGGTTTCCGGTCTGGAAAACTAAGAGCACCAGAGAAAGTCAGGAAATTTCTAACACATCTGAGGGTGTCTACCGGTCCCCAAAAGTCCCCAACATCTCCGATTATCCCCGATTCTGGAAGGGTGTCCCCGGTATCCCAAAATGTCCCCAATTTTCTTGTTCAGGTCCCAAAAAATTACAAAAATCGTCCTAAACACCGGGGTTTTCAAATTCCACTCACTTACACAACACTCTCATGTATTACTATGAAAAATGATATCCTTTCACCCTTCTTTTTGTCAAACCGTCATCGGAAAGTCAATTTGAAGCCTACTCATATATACCTCGAGTGGTTTTAAGCTCGTTCTAATGCACACACACTTGTCCATTGATATTTCCACCAGGAACCCTCACCTTTTGTATGAATTGTCAATCTGTTGATATTTCTCTTACACGGAAAAAGCTTGAGATACGGAGTACCCATTAAGGGCACGAATTTGCCAGTATATCTGATGTCCTCTCCCTCCACCCCCTCCCCCCTCCCTCCCCCAATGCTCGTCAACTTTGAATCCGTTTTTATTCCTCCAGAGTGCTTGTCGAACTTCATCGCAGTCACATGCCTCAACTTTTGAGGCGATCAAAGCCATTAAATGCAGTGGCGCGGCGTGACGTGCTTTGCGATATATCGATTGATCGACCATTTAAACCTATGGAATAGTATCGATAAACAGCTGAAAAGAACGCTGAAAAGAAACATTCGATCGCAATAATCGATCAATCCTATTACGAGAAAAATCGAGCTGTTTGGTTCTTCGCGCCGAATTTTCTGTGGATCCCTTTTTACAGCTCTGGTTTAAAAACCGAAAGTTGGTCACAAGAACCGAAAGCTACAAGGACCACCAGGTCGATTGCACACTAACCGATGGTTCGGTCAGACGATCCGAGAGCACGGTTAAACAAACCGGAAGTTTGGTCATTTGAATCGGAAAGGTCACATGAGGCCTTTGAGAAGCAACACTCGCAGGAAGCTACAAATTCGACCGCGTTACGCAGAGAGGAACCAAGCCACATCAGCTATTGCCAAATTAATTTTTTACATGAAAACGGTTGTGCGGAATTTTCTGCAGATTCCAGTGAATTTTCTGCATAGCACGCGGCAAATTCGCTAAAATTTTCTGGAAAGCAACGGATTTTCAAGGGAATCCGCACAAACGTTCTCTTGTAAGCAATTAAATTGTCCAGTTAAATTTGACAATCGCTGATGTGACTTGGTTCCTTTCTGCTGAACGCGGTCCAATTAATGGAAGGGACTGATTCATAACGTGTAGCAGCACCAACACTAGTATAGTTTGACAACTTTGTCATCGAAAATGTCATCGAAAGTTACGAAAACAGACAAGGCTCATTGACTCAATGTGTAAGAGAGCATCAGCGTTCTAGATTACGATTTCCTTCTCAAAGGCCGAGGCTATGCAGTTGAGCGCAGCGCAACGTAGTGGCGGATTTCCGCCCTAAATCACTTAAAATCACCTTACATCAGTCCTCCAAAGCTACACGAATGAACTTTTCCTTTCCCGTTTCCTCGGTCCGCGGGAACTTCATTTTCGGCTTCGTATCCCCTTCATTAGAGACCTCCGATAATCCGGCACCAGTTTCAGTCCAAGGACCCCACCCCGCCCCGCTCCGTCGCACGAGAAACACGGCCACGCTCCGGAGCATTTACAGCTTTTATGAAGAATTAAATTGAAAAATGAGGGAGTCAGAGTCTCCAAAGAAGCGGAATGATCCGTTGCATCCCTCGCGGGGGGAGCTGAAAGCATGGCCCGAGAGGGATGAAAGTTAATTCAATGCTCGAGCACTTTGTTGGCGGTTATCTGATGTTTCCTCGGAAGACGCGCGCCCCACCCCCGCGACCGCCCCGACGAGGAACTGGAACTCGGTGTCTCTGCACGGCTGCGGCGGCGGCGGCGGCGGCATGTCGGTGCAGAAAACAGAAATCTGGGCCAAATAGCCCGGAGCCCCCTTTCCCGCCCGCCCCCCTCGGATTCGCTCGTTTCGCGGCTTGTTCGCTCCTCCTCCCCGTTAGCCCTTACACAGCTACATTCGTCAGCCCAGCGTTTAGTCCTTGGACTTTCGCTTTACAGGGTGTCTACGAGTCCGGAATTTCCGGAAAGTCCGGAAGTAGTACTGATTTTTCAATAGCGGCTCGGAAGTACTGAAAAGTGCGGAAATTCTGTAAGATGGTCCGGGATGTTTTCATTGTTTGTCGCATTTTGCGCGAGAAATTCAAATTTTTGAAAGGAGTGGTTGCGATTTGGACCGAAATCGGCCCCTCCACGGAATTGAGAAATTTTTGGATATTTGGCAGTTGACGGTGCATATTTGACAGAAGTAATCGAGCTTTGCCGATACTCACGTTTTTTGGCTGCGAAACAGGGGCCTGAACATGGTTCCAGAGCCGAAAAGAGCAAGCACTGGAAAAAAAACACATTTGATCTAGAGTCCATACTCTTGAAAACATTGGCAAGAAAAAGGACTCTTGATTTAAGCTTAAATCTGATTGAATCAGGAGTATTTTTTCTTGTCGATGATTGAATCAGGAGTATTTTTTCTTGTCGATGTTTTTAAGAGTTTGGACTCTAGATCCAATATGTTTTTTTTCCAGTGAGGGTTTACTGATGGACTGACCCTAGGGTCTCTTATGGGGTGCCGTCAGTTAGTCTCTAATTTTCCTCTCTCGTCCATTTTGACCATTGCAACCAAACCCGCTTCTACCTGTAAGCTCGGTCCATTTGTCCTCTTTATCTAACCCTCTGTCCATCATTTCCAATAATTAGCCCGCGCACCGCCAATTTTCGATTAGCAAAACTGCATTTCCCGATGACCGGAGATAATGGAGACCCCAACGCGAAAATCCACCCCTACAACAATAGTGAGCCCCCAATCCGGCCGAGAAACCCGGAGGAGGGGTGGGGGGTTAAATTCGAGCAAATTTATTTCGGGATCCGGCGGTGGCGCGCGCGGTGACCAGGAGGTGGGCTAATGACCATGCGTACTGGGATTATCGAAGCTCGCCACCCGGCGCGCCACTATCGATCCCCGAGCTTCATCCCTGTTGCTCCGGCTCCTGATCGCGTCATAGCTGCATCCCTTCCGACTCGGAGCCCCAAGGCCGCGCTCCCGTCACTCCCGTCAGTCCGCCTCCGTCCCCGCTCTCTCGTGCACGCGCCCCTCCGCAACCCGAAAGTCCCTTCGTCTTCTTCGTCGGGTTATTTTCGGCACCGCACCCAGCTCACCCCCCTCCACCCCCCTCGACCACTGTCGCAACCGCGGTGCTCCCCGCAATTTTTTCGACCAAGCAAAGCCCGCCGGAATTTTTTTTAAATTTTCTTGTGGTACCTTAACTACGTAACACCCCCTTCCCCCCCCCCAAGCCGAAATTTTCATACTCGATCCGCACGTAAATAATGTACCGCTTCTTCGTCATGGAGTTGGTGTTGTTCCGCCGCTAGTCAGCCCCCCTCGACGGATTTTGAATGAAAAATGGAAAAAGATTGTGGCAAAAATTGCGTCAGGCCATCACCAAAAGTGAGTGAATTTCCTTCCTGGTTGACTCTGTTTTTGTCAGCGTCTGGAATTTTGTGTTTTTTCACCGTTCTGTGTCGAAGCGTCCTCGAGGCTGGGCCCGAGGACCCAAAGAATCATGGATTATTTTCGGCGGGAAAAATCATGAGAAATGCATGAGGAAAAGTTCTCGCAAAGTCAAGGAAAACTTGGAAAAATCAGTTAATTTTACTGATCTTTGAAATTTCAAAATGTTTGCTATCAATCCTTGAATTTGCACGTCTCAGCCAAATTTTTTAATGAACCTAGTCGCGCCTCTCCACTGTGATATACGTAGCTTGTGAAGAGAATTCTCATCCCTATTATTCTTGACTAGTCACGGAAATTCAAGAAATTTATAGTTCAAAAAGCCTGAACAGTTGGAAAATGTTCACATTCAAGGCACACTGTCACCAGGGTTGCCACAGTCAGGGAAAACTGGGAAATGTCAGGGAAGTTTGAAAGGGCAGGGAAAACCGAAAAATGTCAGGGAAAATTTGTTAAATCACCTTCGTTGCTTTCTAGAATGGGTTTGAGATTTTGAACAAGAAATTTGGTCTGAAAACTATTTTCAATCATGCCTTCTTAACCATCCGTCACATCGTCAATTGTCAGGGAATTTCACCAAAATGTGTCAGGGAAATCAGGGAAATGTTAGGAAATTTCAATTTCTAAATTCTGTGGCAACCCTGTGTCACCCTTTCTTTGGCTTTTTCTGTAATAATAGGAGAATTTGTTTTTAGGCTGATAATTTCAACGTTGAATATTGTCCTCTATCATTAAGCCGTAAAAAGACATCTCGGGATAAATTTTCGAATTTGCATGGCGCTGTAAAATTTTGAAATGGATGTGATCGCACCTATTCACTGTACAATACAAGAGCCTGTGGAGCTAATTTGCATTCCTATTATCCTTCAAAGGTCAAAGAAAGGTCGAGGAATTTTCAATGACAGTGTATTTTATCATCCTGTTTTGACTTTTTCCTCGAAGATTGGTGACTAAAATTTCACCTCACAGAAAAGAATCTTCAGCCGAACTTTTCGCAGTAGGGTCATTTTTAATCGAAAAATTAAATTATTATAATGCTGTTCCTGAAAATGAACAGCATCATAGAACTAACAAGTCATTTCCATCAAGAATTGCTCAATAAACCACTAGACCCATTCAGAAAATAAACTCCACAATTATTTATGCTCTCATATCGCAAATTTACTGAGAACACGGTGGACGCGTTGAAAACTTGTTAAATTCAACTCATAAGGTAGAAAATAAAGGTTTTGGATCGTTGATTCACATTTCTCGCTCACATATTTATTTTTTCAAAGGAAGAATTTTTTCGTTTACCATTCAACTTTTTTTGACAAGATTAAATGCACCGTGTCAGAGGAGGAAGGAAAATTGTACCGAAATCAAGCGCTAGATATTTGTTATCCACCGTACAGGCGGATTTCAATGCCTAAATTGCCCTACTTTGATTATAATTTTTTTCCCCGAGCGGGAAATTTAAAAACACTGTTTGTAATGGAAACTACGAACTTTTTTTCTAACTTATCAGTTAAGTTTTTGATGTGTTCAATATGTTTTACGTGAAATATTGATGAAAAAACAAGTGCTTTGGTGCGTAATTTCCAACCATGTTTAGTGATCTACATATAATGCATGCGAAACGCTGCTCATTTGAAGTTAATGATGAAGGCGCACTGCATGCGACTATTCGTGCTCGACGGATGTCCGTGTTGCATACTTGCAGGATTGAAGGCGCTCTGGGTTTCCTTACGCCGCGCCATTACGACAGTATGTATGTTCGTACAACGCGGAAATTATGAATTTACCGTTCATTATGTAAACTACGCTGCCGTTCTAAGGAAGAATACCGTATGAGCATTCGAGTGTTGCCGAATTGCCTCGAATAAAACATGTATTTGTGCGTAAATTTTTGCATAATTTTCCTTGAAATTTTAAGACATTTTAGATTGAATCGCGAACAAACTCGTCTAGAAAATTTGGGGGGATAAAGACAATTTACCCAGGAAACTTGACTATTTTGAAGGAAATATAGCAACATCCGAAGGCGCATACGGCGTTTTTCTGTAACACGGCAGCACCAACGTTCATTTCTCGCTTCTCGGTTAATTTTAAAAGTTGTCGATAAGTTGAACGTATTCTGCGTGAAATTTTGATGAGGAAACACACGCTGTAGTTCTTAATTTCTTAGCCTGTCGTGGTCCACTGCAGCTGAAACTTTCAGTCTGGAGCTGAAGTTCACCCGCAAGCATGAACTAACATAGGGCAACACGAACCCATCCGCCAAGAGTTTCCGAGAACGTTCTCACTCGGTTGCAAATTATCTACTTGCAAAGAACAGTGCTCTCATTTCCCGGAACTATCACCGAATTCCGGAACTTTTGAGATTTTTGTGAATTATCTCCGGAACTTTTAAAATTCCCGAAATAATCCGGATCTTTAGCTTTTTCCGGAATGTTCTCGGAACGCTTGAAAAAAAATCTTAAAAGAATCCCGGAACGTTTGACGGGCATGGTATGGGAGCACTGGCAAGAAAATAAACGCTTGTCCTCCCGTCTGGAGTCGGGAAGCTTTCTCTAAGCGACCCCCGAGCAAAGATAAGCGCTGGAGGTGCAGGTGCTTTTGCCCGCCGCTTTTCCATCTCGACTGTTCCGCTCGGAGCAGGATCTCTCGACCTCCGAGCCGAGGGAGTGCGGCACAACCTGTTGTCAGCCTTGATTAGGGGGGATCCCGAACGTAAACGCAACAGATGAGTTTGGCAGCCACTTCGAAGCGGATAAAATTTTATTCCGCCTCCCGTGCTCCACCTCTTGTCTAACATCGAATCCCTCCGCCTCTCTCCACGCTCCTCTCGCTGTCCCTTCAACCGTCTTTTTATCTTCATTGAAAATAAAAAGTTACGGGCTGTAAGGATGTACCGTCCCAGGGAGTCTACAAGTCCGGAATTTCCGGAAAGTTCTGAAATAGCACTGATTTTTCAAGGGCGGTCCGGAAGTATTGAAAAAGTGCGGAAATTCCGTTAGTAGGTCCGGAATTTTCCATTTTTGTCGCAATTTGAGAGAGAAATTCAAGTTTTTGAAATTTTTCGAATTTCGTCAAATGGAGGTACTGAATTTCTCGGGAATGTACCGAAAAAGTACTGTTGAGGTACTGATTTTTGGCCAGCCTTTTCTGGCGATTTTCTCGGTTTTTACCCGCTCCGCAACGAAAAATGAGGGGGGCAGCGGGGGTGTTTTGGATGTTTCCGTACTTTAAGGGGGTGGCAGTCCTTGTATTTCAATGCTACGACTGATCGCAACGTTTTAAGGGTCCTCCTCAAGTTGGGCATTAGTTTCGGGCATTATTTGTAGTAAATTTCCCGGTTTTTATCCGCTCTGCAACCAAAAATGAGGGGGGGGGCAGGGGGCTAAGAGTTTTGAAAACTCACTTTAAAGTCGCAGGCTGCGTTTGCGTTAACATTGGCAAGAAGTTCCACTCGGATTTGATGCTAAGTTTGAAGCTCTTCTGTGACTTTTCGCATTTTAATGCAATTTTTCATTGTAACAGGCCCATCCCCTCCTACGGGGGGGCTGTGATGGCCCGGGGGCAATATGAAGACTTCGGTATCAGACTTGGAGTATTCGAGGACTCTTTGAAAAGAGAAACGGTATGTCCAAGAGCCGCCGAAGCTACTCTAAAAATGAAGGTACGGACCCCCTAAATAACCTTTGGACCCCCCTAACTTTTGACAGGGGGGTCAGATTGACTTCCGGTTTGCGCCAAAAATTTTCTTTTTTCATGCTCTTTCTAACGATGTATCACATGATGGGGGTTGCCATTTGAAATTTTTGAGTTGCCCCCCGCCCCCCTCCCCCTGGGGGGGTTGAAGAACTGAAAAGTACCTCAAAAAGTTTCCCCCTCGATATGAGGAAGGACGCCACAAACCGCAAATCGATATCATAATTAGAACTAAAGTTATGGCCAGTGGTGCGTAACTTTTGAATAACCCTGTATCACCGGTATTCCGTATTGGTGTTCTAGGCGAATTTTCGCTAGTTGATTTGGTCGACTTTTTCAACCAGAGCGGCAGGGTTGCGAGCCAAAGGAGAGAAACGCACGTTGAAGTCAAGAAATAAAATCAGTTGCTCGATGAATTTCGGCCAACGTTTGCATCCATCCTTTTTTCAATCCAGCGACTATGCCAAGCGAGTGTTCCCGCTTTTATTATGAATTTCTTCTCTAATGACGATAAATTAGGATATTTTGTACCCGTTTCTTTCTTCATGATATTCTTTCGTAAAACCCTCATTCTGGAATGACATATGGCGAAACTGAGAAAAAGGGATAAAAGGGTATCATACGGATCAAACACGACGTTAAATTAGAGTCAAATTCAACCCCTTTTACACCTCCACAGTCAACCCTCGTCGTCTTTTCGGCTGATCCTCTGGGCGCGTGCTACTTGTAAGGATTGAGGCTAACCTGTTCAGTGTTTACGCATGTAACACACAGTGCGGAACAAGGCTGCCCACCCTCACAGTTAAAGTGGCATGTTGAGTCTGAAAATACGAGAAAAGCAGGGAGAAACCCTGCAGTATGGCAATCTTATCCGCGCACAGATTATCGTAGCACTTAAAAGGCTTTGGGGAGTGAACTGCCTAAATCTCATGTGCTCATTTAGGACGATGGAATTGTTTTGTGCCCTCCCGGCATGTTTCCTAGGAATCATGTTTATAATATTTTGCTTCTCTAGCCGTCAACATGAGCATGGGCCTTTTCAGATTTCAAGAACATTTCAAGATAATAATTTTTATGAACTGTCAAACATTTTGGCTCAAGAAAAGGCCAAAAAATGGTCAACCTGATGGAGAATTTGCAGGTGTCTGAAATTTTGTAAATTTCATGTTTGAAATGAAACTGCTGTATACAATTGAGCACGAGGATAGCCTTGGTTTCTAAATTGAACAATTCTTAGAGGAATT